TCTGACCAATAAAACACAAGTCAGCTTCAAGTTTGACCAATAAAACACAAGTCAACCTCAGGTCTGACCAATAAAACACAAGTCAACCTCAAGTCTGAGCAGAAAAACACAAGTCAACCTCAAGTCTGATCAATAAAACACAAGTCAGCTTCAAGTTTGACCAGAAAAACACAAGTCAACCTCAAGTCTGACCAATAAAACACAAGTCAGCTTCAAGTTTGACCAGAAAAACACAAGTCAACCTCAAGTCTGACCAATAAAACACAAGTCAGCTTCAAGTCTGAGCAGAAAAACACAAGTCAACCTGAAAGCTGTGGAATCAGGTTAACTCTAAAGTATTCAGTTGTAAAAGTACAATTGAAATCTGTTTAAGAACACAGCCTGACTCTTCTTCCCCCCTCAGAGTGACGATGCAGGAGCAGCTCTGGCTGCAGCCATATCAGGGACTGCAGGGGCCAAATCAGAGAGCAGAGGGAATGGGCCCTTGCCTGGAGGAGGAGGGCTTATGGAGGAGATGAGCGCCTTACTGGCCAGGAGGTAAGGCTTGTCTAAAGCTTGTTTTGATCACTAAACAACACTAATTTTGGTTCTTTTTGTCTGACTTGAATGTGACGTATTTTTTGGTAACACCCAAAAGACCTTGCTGGTTTTCATTTTGAAAACTCAGCATTGTGCTGGGACCAAACTGCTGAAAAAATGAGGAGATACATTTAGTTTTATCTAACACCGCCCACCTTCACTCGTCTTCACAGTACCTGGGTTTTCTATCTTACAGGAGAAGAATCGCCGAGAAGGGCTCCTCACCTGAACCTGACCAGAGATCAGTAAGTCTTCATTTCTGTCCCACTCGTGTGAATCTGGATTTCAGCCCCTAATATAAAGCCTGGTTTATAGTGGACGCGTCGCAGCGAGCGCGAGGGTGCACGTGCCAAAAGTGACGCAATCATGCCATCCCCGCCCCTTTGCGTTGGCACCGCACAGTGTCCCGGTGCGTGGTTGTGCACCTCTGAAATTTTGAAACTCCACAAAGGCTGCGCGCCACTCGTCGCGACTGCTGGCTTTAAAGATGGAGGTTTTCAAAGGTGCTCTGGCTGAACAGGTCCGAATGTACTGGCATCTGTATGATCCCTCCATGAGAGGTCATAAAGACAACCAGATGGCACAAAACTCATGGAAGGAAATAGCAACGGCTTAAAAATAAGATGAGTTAATTTGCCGGACGACATGAAAAAATATTGCGACCGGTTTGTGAAAGCCAAGAAGAAGGTCAGCAGAAGTGGTGATCCTGGAGGAAACAAACCAGTGTGGCTCTCAGTTTGTGAAGCACAGAGAAACACATCATATGGAGAACGAGGTAAATGGGGTTACTTTGTGTGACGTCAAGCATTTCTTGTTCTACACTCTCTCCTACTACTTTCCCACTGGTTTGGCACCGTACTGCCATCTGTTGGTGAAGAAAGAACAGAGCGCATCTATAACCGAGCCTTTAGGTTTCCCTTAGAGCTGAAGCTCAAAAGCTGTTGTGTGTTTCCTGAGAGAGTTGTCCATTCTTTACATTCTTGAGTGAAATGCCTCCTCAGCGGTGCAGTTCTTCATCTCTGTGATGGTCTTCATATCTGGACAGGATGTCATGTACATTTCAGAGGGAAAAATGTGCAGAAAGGTCTGAGGTCGTGAAAACATCTTTTTAATCCTCAGGCTGCATACTTCACATACCTTCTGCAGATGTCTAAAGTCCAATACCCACCATTTTATATGACATCCAGTGATTTATTATAGGGACATAAAATTCACATGTTCTGTGGCAAATGTTGAAAAGTAACGCAGTCATGTGTGACCATGAGCCTGACTCCTCTCTGACTGTGTGTTCCCAACAGGAAGAAGGTGAAATAAACACAACCCCTAAAGTGTCAGCTTGTAGCACCCCAGGTGAGTATTAAAGACAAGCTGTGGAGTCATGGCCTTATCTGCTCAAACTCATCCTTCGAAAGTAGCTGTTGAAGGTCTAAGTTAGCATTAAGTTAGGCTACATGCTGACTACGCTCTATTAATGTGTCTATTTTCATGTCTTCAGTTCATAAACATCTTTTTGTGTGAGATTTATTCATTTAATTAAAAAATAAAACAAAAACACATCATTCATAAACATAATTTCAGTCTAACAGAAGTTGTTTTATGTTGTGATTTCCAGACATGCCCAGGAAGCCATGGGAAAGAACAAACACCATGAATGGTAGCAAATCTCCAGTAATCGGGAGGTAAATTATCAGCTTTTCTTTCTATTGAACTATTTTTATTCTTAATGCCTTCTTTGGGTATAATAAATCCTAATCTGGCCAAAAGCTTTGAAAGCATAATGATAATGCAGAAACATGATGTGACGCTGCTAAATGTCTTCTTTAGCAGACTTCAGGCAAACACATTAGCATCAGCTAACATTAGCATGATGTCATCCATTCAGTGCTGCCTAACATTACTAAAGCTTGTGTTGCCTTCATGTGCACATTAAATCAACCCAACTACACGCCGTCTTGTTGTAAAACTACAACAGTTTGAGTGGGAGGATAAAAAACTAAATATCAGATTTAGTTGAGCAGAAACAAAAACAGATTATATCAGGTGACCTGATATAATCCAAGTCCATCCAGGAAAGGAGGATTCACCTCAAACCTGCAGGTGTTAGGAGGCACGATGTGAAATATATTTGAGGCCAAACACAGACCTGCTAAATTTAACCCTTTCTACAGTGGTGGGCAGCGCTAACCCAAAAATTAGCTCCACGATTCCTAAAGCGCTTATAAAAATATTTAGGTCCGCAACTTCAAAAGCACTTAATGTCATGGAACAACTAGTGGAAGCTAATTTTAAAGCACAAGATCAATTTGACACTTATTAGCTGACAATAATTCATGTACAATATATGTATAACTCTGCCAACTAGTGGTGTATGAACTCTTTTACAGCTTAATTCTACAACCACTGATAGCTGGGGATGTGATTTCCTGAAACAGACCTTTAGCTCCTGGTGTAAAAATTAAAAAGTTGTTGAGGATTGCTAGTTCGGCTGCTTCTTTGTCTTTTTCTTTTGTTTGTTGTAGATTTTTCATTAAAGAAGCATCAATAAAGTAATTTTAAAACTGTTTATTGGAAAACTGAAGTGATGCATTCTGGGTACATGACGGATTTGATTTGTGACGGGAAACAAAAGCACGGAGTACAGGAAACTATCTGCAAACTTCAAAATAAGAGCTTGGATTTTGAAGTTTTCCATGTAGTTGCTCCAGTTGACCACTAGATGTCAGTCTTCATCAGCATAACATCTTTAAATCATTTCTGAGTCTCTAACCCCGTTGGCCGATTGCTTCAACCAGTTACGTCAAGTATTGAGCTCCAGCGTTTGAACTTTTTTTTTTCCAAAAAAAGGAGCTCCGATTGTAAAGTAAAATAAATCAATACATACAAAATTTTAGTATGGATTACAAACGTTTACTGTTTTTACTGTTGCCTTCCTGCAAGTGCCCAGAGTAAAACAAAAGAGGGCCATTGCACAGCTTAATTGTTAAAAATAAAGGACTTTACTTACAAAAATATTTGTATTTCATGTATTATATTACTGCATTTGGTCCACAGCCCTGGGTAGTTTTTCATTTTGGCCCTCTGTTTGGGCACCCCTGCTCTCAATATTTGTTCTGACTGAAATTTAAAGGTCCTGAAACAAAAAAAGGAGTGGTCACCCATCAAACCTGCCAAAATTTAGTCAGAATATTAAAAATTGAAAGAAGATAAACTTCATTGTTCTAATGACTGAAAGGAGGAAATGCTACTTAAAACAACTCAGGTGTTAAACTTGTTTCACTTTGCACCTGCAACATATTTAAATTTGTTTTTACACGTGTGTTCAGTCTGGTCCTGAAGCCGGCCCATCATGGCTGGAAACAGACAGTTTGTTGTGATTAGTAAGGTCAGTGTCTCTGCTGCTCACAGACGAGACGTTCCCTGGAGAAATCCTGTGGGAGCAGATTCCTGCAGCAGGTAGAGAGAAAACTCTGCAGAGTTTCAGAAATCCTTTATTTCACTCAAACTTTCTGTTGGTCAACCCAGGCTTGGTGTGATGGCTGGCTTTGGTTTGGTTTGGTTTTAGCAGAGTTTGAGCTTTTGGAATGAGTCTGGTGTCGGCACCATTCTGCAGATTATGGTTCTGTCTGGTTGTTTATTACAACCCTAATCCCAATGAAGTGGGCACGTTGTGTAAAACATCAATATAAACAGAATATGATGATTTGTAAAAGAGTTTCAGACTATTTTTAACTGAATACACTACAAACACAAGATTTTTAATGTTTAACAAGCTTAACTTTGTTTTTTTCAAATGTTCACTCGTTTTGATGTTGTTGCTGCAACATGTTGTAAAACAGCTGGAACAGAGGCAACAAAAGACCAGGTGAACATTAAGCTGTTCACCTGTGGAAACACCTGAGTGTCATGATGGAGCACTCAGAAAGGCTCAGTCACTGGGTAAACTGTTGTCCAACACTTCAACAACTTTTCAAGGAGTTCAGGTATTTTATCATCTACAGTCCATAATCTCATCAAAAGATTCACAGAATCTGAACAAATCTCTAAGTTTGCAGCAAGGCTGAAAACTAAGCCTGAGTTCCTGTGACCTTTGACCCCTCAGACAGAACCACATCAGTCTGTACCAGATGTTAGCTCAGGGCCTCAGCACTGTCAGTGAACACAGTAAACATTAAATATCTGCTCTTTGTACTGTATTTATATGAATATAGGTTGAATTTGTAAATCATTCTACTCTGTTTTTATTAGTTGTTTCACACAACCCTAATCCCACCTTCATTGGGATTAGGGTTGTGTGTCTGACTTGGTCCAGTTTGTCCAGTGGTGGTCTTTTCTTGTTCCTGTTGGTGGAGATCTAATATACCCCCTTCAGTGTGTGTGTGCTGTTGGCCTTACTGCACTTTGCTTTTCTCCTGTCCTGAACAGGGAACGTCACACACTGTAGCCCCTCCCTGTCTAAAGACACACACTGTAGCCCCTCCCTGTCTAAAGACACACACTGTAGCCCCTCCCTGTCTAAAGACACACACTGTAGCCCCTCCCTGTCTAAAGACACACACTGTAGCCCCTCCCTGTCTAAAGACACACACTGTAGCCCCTCCCTGTCTAAAGACACACACTGTAGCCCCTCCCTGTCTAAAGACACACACTGTAGCCCCTCCCTGTCTAAAGACACACACTGTAGCCCCTCCCTGTCTAAAGACACACACTGTAGCCCCT